GACAGAGAAATTCATAACGAGAATTAATCTGAGAAGGAAGTGAGAAGTCATCCCCATAAACGCTAACATAGATTTTGCAAGAAACTTGTTTGCTTCATTACTTCTGGTTACAATACGTGGGGTATGCTTAGTTTACAAGACTTAGCAAGGAACCTTAATAGGAATAAGAACAGAAAAACAATAATCACTGAGAAAGACAAGAGCACTATGCAGGGTGAGAGTACTCACTTTCTGATCATTTTGAAGCCCTGTTACCATTAAAAAATACTCTTTCAAACTTACAACTTTCAGAATCCCAATCTCCTCAAAAAACCAACCAAAACCTGTAGTTCCTGGAATATTACATTTTCCCCACATCATTTCTTAGTTCCATCATTTTAACAGTTATTTTTTTAAAAATAATAATGTCTTGATGATCAGATGACCCTCAGATATATTCAAGCCTTTTTTATTCAGTTGTATTTATACCACGTTGTCATTTTCTAAGGTTTCTTCTCTTAGAATATTTATAGATACTATCTTCAAGTTTTATAATTCACCTTGAAACCCAACACAGAACTGTAAAATGAAATGTGCTGCCAGAGACCTGGTGATAATTTATCACACTAAAATGAGTGGCATCAACAAATAAAAAACTTTACTTTGGGTCTGACAACCCTGCAATGCTTGAATCCCTTTGGAGGCTGAGCAGACAGAGGGGAAAATTTGGATTGCTTATGGAGTTTCCTGAACAGGGGCACCACCCGCTGTCTGCATGGACCAAACACCCATGGGCAGTCCACGTCATGTGGCATCAAGTTGTGCTGCTCAATTATTTTTTCCACTTTCCCCCAGTGCATGCATACCATTGCACAAAAACACCACCTGTGACTGCTAACTACCTCCCTTGCCGCCCCCAGACTCTGGAACGGCCTGCTGGATGAGATCCGTCAACTGACATCGTTAGACAGCTTTAAAAAGGCTGTCAAGATGGATCTCTTCCGGCAGGCCTTTCCAGAATAGATCACCCCGGCCTCAGGAACCTCCCGTGGGAGTCCTCCAGATTCCTCCCAGCTTAAAGAACCACCGCTGTACTTCTTGCTTGTTATTGCAGATACACGTGGCCGTATCTGCATATATTGCATGTTTTAATTTGTTTGTTTTAATTTTATGTGATTTACTATTGTTTTAAGGGGAGGGAGGGAATAGGGTTTGGGTATACTGTATCTTAATATTGTGAGCCACCCCGATTGGTTTCAGAGGAGCGGGATATAAATCAATTTTATTATTGTTGTTGTTGTTGTTGTTGTTGTTGTTGTTGTTGTTGTCCCATCCAGCTGCCATCCCACTGGACTCCCCATATGACCAGTGACACAGTTGCATGAGTGATATACTGCTAGTACAGTGCATGGGTGTCTCCAGGGACACATAGCAAAGCACAATCATGGAGGCCCCCCATATATGCTCCCATTTCCCCTTCACCCCATGGTCCCTTGTTGGACTGTCTAGTTTGTGTATGTTTTTATTACATCCACTGTTTTCTTGGTGATCTGCTATGTTTATTATAATTTTGTTTCATGGGTTGTGTGACAGCTCGATGGTGCAGCTGGCCACCTGTGTACAACAAAAGAAAAAACTGTGTAGTGAGAATGGTGTTGGCGGCTGCAACCCACCAGGCCCAAAGCGTATGCTCCAGACTGCTTCTGTAAGCTGCCTGCATTACCCCACTTGCATCGTGCTGTTTATATGCCAGTGCGATAATGCACACTTTCAGCATTAAAGTGGACAAAGTAATTAATTTGCTCTGCTTTTTCTTCCTGGAGTGTGGCGCAGGACGTTTTCACACGGGGCTTTAGACGGAGGCAATCCTACCTCCGTCCGGCCCCACTCCGGCTCCTTTGCAAAATCGTTCACACGACGTCGCAGCAAGCCCCGCCCCATCCTGCGCCATCCCTGGCGCTATCCGTCGTCCGTCCGGGGTCTTGCTTGTCGTGTTCACACGACGTCGCAGCAAGCTCCGCCCCATCCTGCGCCATCCCTGCACCATCCCTTCCGCTAGCCGGCTTTAGCCCCATAGATCTAATTCCTTTTTTAAAAAGGAATTAGAGGGGCTGCTGCCGGAGGCAATAAGGAGCCATTCCGGCGGCGGCTGTTTTCACCGCCGGAATGGCTCTTCTTTGCTTCCAGGCAGCTTCCAGCCGGCTTTAGAGCCGTGTGTATGAAAACGTCCTTTGTCCCAGTTTCCTCCCATTTCGTCCCTGTGTGTTGTATGAATAGGTAGGCCTCAAGTTGGGTTGAAGCTACTTCTTTTTGCCAGTGCAGACAACCTCTTAGCTGTGCCTGCCAAGGATTACACTGACAAAAACACAGAAGTGGGGAGGTAAGGAACATTCCTGCTGAGTTTTCCACTCTTGCTGAATTTGTGTTTCAGATACTGAACCCCTGGATTGCTTATTTACCTTTATCATAATCTGTTGGTTGTATTATTGTTGTTGCTGTTAGCTAAATTGCAAGTAGTGGATAAATGTTTTCTAAACAATTACCATCTCATAGTCAGTAAAAATACAGAATAGAACCACAATTGGTATTATGCACTGAAATATTCCAACATCACTGTTTAAAAAAACAAGCAGAAACCCTCACTGGGATCATTTCCTTAAAATAATTTCTGCAATATTCTGACAGTATAGTTCAGGGGGGAAATCACTATGTGTAGTGTGGAAGTATAATATACGTATGTACTTTAGCATTGCTAGATGTCAGGTCACACATTTCAGTCTGCAAGATTAAAGAGACAGAGGATGGAGGAGATAAAGGGACAAAGTCAGTAGTAGATAACTTTATCCCAATGCTGACAATCACATGGAATCAGATTATAAATTGGATCACCAGAGATGTTCATTATCATTTACATGGCTGGAACAGATACTGAGACACATATGGGTGACGTGAGAGACCAATTCTGATATGATAAACCCAAAATTGTTGATTCAAATGTGAAGGTTTTTGCATCAATTTATCACAAACCTTCAAATGGGCTTCAGCTAGTGATATCTGAAAATAATAGTTTAACTTTCTTCTTCAGAACCTTAGTATTGCCATTACTGTCTAAAGCCATGAAGGCTAAAGGGAAAATGCCATACTCAGGATTTTAGGAAGGCTCCGAGGAATCCAATATACTTCAGAATCAAAAGCCAAAAAGAATGGGGACATTATTAAAATCCCATTATTAAAATCCAAAGTAGACCAAACTGAGGCTGTCATACTTTGGACACATCATGAGAAGAGAGGACTCATTGGAAGAGACAATAATGCTAGGAAAGGTGGAAGAGAGGAAGGCCACATGCCAGATGGATGGACTCTATTAAGGAGGTCACAGGTATTAAGGGGTTGCAGGAATTAAGCAGAGCAGGGGAGGCAGGGGGTCCTGGAGACGTCTCATCTATAGGGCTGCCATGGGTCGAGATCGACTTGAGGGAGTTAACAACAACAACAACAAAAACAGGTTTTTGTATATCTGTATTGTATATAACAAAGAGCAATTTCAAATACCCTTTGAAATTGCTTGGCTTCCAGGGAGGTTTCCGTCTTGCTCTGCTCTAGGACCCATTTGTTTGTGCTTTTGGCTGTCCATGGATCCTTAGCACTCTTCTCCAGCCCCACATTCTCTCAAATGCATTGATTTTCCTCCTATCATCTTTCTTAACTCTCCAGCTCTCACATCCATCCATGGTAACAGGGAATACAATGGCTTGTATGAGTCTGACTTTTGTGCTAGGTTGTATATCTTTGCATTTTAGAATCTTTTCTAGTTCTTTCATACCCACCCTCCCCATTCTTAGCCTTCTTCTGAGTCCCTATTTCTATCAATGTTTGATCCCAGGTATGGGAATTCTTTTACTATTTCTATTTCCTCATTGTCTAGGTTGAACTTGTGAAAGTCTTCCATGCTCATTACTTTTGTTTTCTTTATGTTTAACATTAACCCTGCCTTTGCACTTTCTTCTTGGATCTTCCTTAGTAGGTGTTCCAGGTCTGCAAGGTTTTCTGCTAGTGTTATGGTGTTATCTGCATATGTAGATTGTTGATATTCCTTCCTCCTATTTTCACTCCTCCTTCTTCTGTGTCCAAACCTGCTTTTCTTATAATATATTTTGCTTACAAGTTGAACAGATAGGGTGAAAGGATACAACCTTGTCTGACTCCTTTGCCAATTACAAAAACCTGCTACATATGTTTTAATGTTGTATTCCATTTTCAGGTTATCTGCCTTATGTTAGTAGACAGTCCGCTATTCACCTTCAGGATGTTTTCTTGTGGCACTCAGTGTTACTCCTATAAGTCAATTAAATTCATTCATATTTCGAGTCCACTTAATCTTTTAGGCTCAAGGCTAACCACAGTCAAAAGCAGCATATTTAAGATAGTCAGCACTTTCTAATAAAAACTTGGGTTCCAAAAGGTGACTTTTAATAAAAGTCATTACAATACTTCTCAATATGTTTAAACTAGTTTTAGAGAGAAGAAAGCCCCTTAAATATGAGATAGCCACAGAGATCAGACTCATTTGAGTGTTTGCCACACATATAAAGATAAAATAATCAAAAGAGATAGAAGAGAAATTGTATACAGAGAAACAGATGGTGTCTTAGTCCCAAACCATGTACATGAAGTTCCCAAAACATATAGTTTTATATGTCAAACTGGCATTTTAAATTGTGTTACAAAGAGAAAAGTCACAACAGATGCTACAGTACTAATGAAAGATGTGCAGATTTGGCAATGACAAGTGTTGGAACATCATGTTCCACCTCAGCAAATATTTGCTCAGTCTTATGGGGGTGACTTTAGGTCAATCACTATATCTCAACTTTGTTTTTGTTGCTGCTGCTGTTATAGTGGGCCTACAAGTTGTTTCCGACTTCTGGTGATCCTAAGGGGTTATCTTGGCAAGATCTTGGCAGAGGACATTTGCCATTGCCTTCTCTTGAAGCTGAGAGCATGTCACTCAATGGGTTTCATGGCAGAGATGGGATTCGAACCCTGGTCTCTAGAGTCACAGTCCACCACTCAAACCACTATGCCACACTGCCTCTCCTGTATCTCAACTTACCTTACCTTAAGGAATGATGTCAAGACAACATGTATATGCCGTTAAAGGAAGAGTGAGATATAAATGCAATGCAAGGGCAGACCCATGGAGATGAATGACTGTTCCCATCTCATCAAATGTAGCTAAGCTAGAGAAGATCACTTCTGATCAATGCCACAAATTGACATCTGATTAACATCAATTTTCTCACATGTGAGGAGCCATGGCCCTGCAATTTCACGAGGGGAAATTCTGTCGCAAACTAATGTGTTCATGGACACTATGTATAGGCACTTATTGTATTTCTTGTGTTTATTTATTTATAATCACATTGCATTTCTTTTCTGCACAGAGATAACAATCACAAGAACAGCTAGGGCTAGATTTGTATATAACCAGTTTATACAACATATCTCTTCAGTAAATGCAGTCATGGGGATTGGTTTTGGCTTTGTCAGGAAAGTGACATGCTTTAAACCTAAGTAAACACAACTTGCAGACTGTATTCCTTCAATTTCTTACCATTATTCATTATAGTGATTATATTTTGTGATAAAAGAGAACTACTGTTTTACTCTGAGCTACAGCTACACCTATCTAGCTTCTACTTTGCTTTCCACATTCAAGAAAATGTGGTCAGATTTTTTTAAAAAAGCTAAAATTTTAAACATCAGAATCAACGTTCAGTATCCTAATGAATAGAAATACAACATTTTACTCTCAGAAAGCAAAAGTGCCTAGTGCAGACTACAGTGGAACAATATTTTTTTTCTTAAATCTCCCAAGGCATTTTTGTTCCTTGCATTTATTTTCAGTCCAGAAGGAAAAACAGTTTCTTATTAAAAGGCAATGTCAGTATTGTATCAAAGGAAGTGACAGTGTTTTCTGGCTCACCACCAAAATGCTCCAATACACTTAGGTATAAGAAATCTGGAAAGGATATAAGGGAAAGGATAGTGCTCTGGGGTAGGAAAGGAAGGAGGAAAAATACTTTTTGCCATACAGTATGGAAGGGAAAAACACCAACTGGACACTTAATACAGTAGGACCACAACTGCCTATAATATCTTTTACTTCATGAAATAAAAAATACACATTAATTCAGGAAATCAATATATTTTTTCTTACAGTTAAGAGAGCAATACCTTAGCTATAACCTATACTAGTTGCAGTTAGTATAGATGCCATCACCAAGTGCTTGAAAGTCTTCTGAATTAACTAGATTTCTTGAGAGCTTAAGTGCATTTTCTTTTATAAAACAAAAAATATTGCCCTATCAATAATTTAACCCAATCTTTAAAATAGATTGCTGCTGAATTTTTTTAACGGTAAAGCAGAATTGTATCAAGAAGCAAGAGCTGGAGGAAGTCTGCAATGTCTGTGAATGAAAATCATTTCATGATGCTTTTAATTCTGTTCTCTCTGACCTCAGCTGGTAAAACCCTTAAAGGGCACGCTTCATAGGATGTCCTCTGAAGTCAATATGAAAACAGCATTAGCCACCAAGGTATCACAAAAAGATTTATTAGTTTGTCAAGAACCAGGGCTGGAAAACTGCAGTGGAGCCTATTGACGATGTAAGACCACTGTTATGCACATATTCGTTCCTTGACTATCTATCATATTTATACAAAGTGCTATAATTCTAACCCATTATACTGGGTGATTCAAAAAGAATCGGGCAAAAGGAAAGCTGTTCTTATTTGGTTCTGCACCGTTCTTTTTGAACCACCCTGCATTTAAACCAAACCCAAAACTGCGTATCGCTTTTCCCCGTTTCTGTCCCAAAACATGAAAACTGACCTTCCTTAAGACTTTTCTGGTTGCTCATGTCAAGGCATTCCTTTTCTTTCAATGGTTCAATATATCCAACAGGTAAAATCTCTGGGAATCCCTGTCGCTGCTTCTTGGAGCTATCAATCATGATGACACTTGGTTAGAAAGGCAACGTCCAGCATCGGAGAAAAGGCCAGTTTACAAACCACCAGTGGGCTACTCCTTTTGCTCAATGCAATAATTGAGCAATTGTGTCTTTAAAGCATCTGGAAGCAGCCATTACCCCTTTATTTCCCAGCCTGACCTGAAAATACACTCGCACAGCTAGAAGCACTTAACTCTCTCTGAGATCGGAAGGCTGAGCCTATGTGGAGAGCATCCAAATCCCACCTCCTTCCCACAGAGCCACTCTTTGTCCCTCCCTCCATCAGCTACCCTAGTTTTCTCTATACTTTAAATTCAATATGCAGTTTGATGGTCAGAATCATCTGACAAACACTGAGTCAAGCAGTTAAAAATAAATCCCGGCAGTGGTGGAAGGAACAACATTTGGCGATATCTAGGATGATAAATTGCTACTGTGATCTCTCCTTCCCCCCCCCCCCCCTCCGTAGCCACAAGCAGGAGAAGCATTTTATGCTGCCAGATATAATAATAATTATTATTTTAATAGCATGTCCTCAGGCAATAAGAATTTAGCCATAGCACCAGAAACAAAAGAGGCAGTGGGAGAGGAAAAAGAAATTACAACCGAGTACACGGGCTGATTTTAAGAAACTATTAACCATTCGAGGTCCTAAACAAGAGAGTGTTTCTTTTGTTCTTTTTACCCTGAATGGCTGCTGTGGACCAAAGAGGTAATGGAAAAGAGAGAGATGCATTATTATCTGCAAGAGAATCCACAATGCAGAAACTGCATGGAGGAAACCCACTTCAAATACTTTTTTCTCAAAGACTGAGAAAAAAAGTCTTTGGCTACATCTGCACTGCAGAAATAATCCAGTTTGACACTGCGTTTAACTGCCAGGGCTCCATCCTATGGAATCCTGGAATTTGTTGTAGCACCAGAGCTCTCTGACAGAGAAGGCTAAATAGTTCACAAGACTACAAATCCCAGAATCTCATAGCATTGAGCCATGGCAGTTAAAGTGGTGTCAGATTGGATCATTTCTGCAATGTGGATGCAGCCTTTGTAACATCACTAGTCATTGTACCAGTCTCACTTCTCTACCCCAAGATATTCAAGAGTAAAGATATTTACTGTTATTGAATCAAAACATATAGCAACCAACAGGCTCTACACTTCTGTATGCAGAGAGTAAGGCATTTGTAGAGAGCTTGGCAAGGCAGAAAGCTATGCAGTAGAAAAGCAGCAACTACTTTTCTTTTCTTTTCTACGGTTACTGTATAAGGAACATTTCATGACAGATAGTCATTATACAAAGCTGAAGAAAAACCAATACTGCTGCTATATGGGTATGCAACTGTGTGACACAGTGTGAGACTTAGGAAACATACAATGAAAGTGGATGTGTGTGACATACTAACACAACTCAGAAATCTATTCATTGTGCATGGACTCCCTAATCTAAGTTACACATTCTGATCAGCCATAGTTGAGAAACACTGCAGTGTAGAGAGGAAGAGGACACAATCTAGGAAAGTGAGTACACTCGTCCCTCCACATTTGGAGCTTTGATTTTTGTGGATTTGATTATTCATGCATTTTATTAATATGTTCTCTCTAGGAATATCTAGGTCAGGGGTAGGCAACCTTTCCCCTTTAAGGGCCGAGGGACTTCAGCTCCCAGAATCCCAGGAGCTATTGGCCAACATGGGACTATTGGCCAACATGGCTGAGGCTTCTGGGAGCTGAAGTCCCTTGGCCCTTAAAGGGGAAAGGTTGCCTACCCCTGATCTAGGTCCTCCAGTGCAACTCTATGTGGCACTGAAGGACCTAGAAATTCCTATCGAGAACACTCCGCTAGGCATTTGTAGCGCCTCCAGCACAATCCTATGGTCAATGTCTGGCAGATGTTGACCATAGAGTTGCACTGGAGGGCCTAGAGATTCTTAGAGAGGTGTTCTCTCAGGTAAAAACAGTGTTTTGGTTATTTGTGGTTTTTCCATGTTCACGGGGGCCCTGCGCCCCTAACCCCAGCGAATGTGGAGGGACGAGTGTATAAAAGAAACAACGCTGGAAGAGGTCTAGTGGGATAGGCTGTTAATAATGTTATTACAAATACAGTGGTACCTCTACTTACGAAATTAATCCGTTCCGACAGCCATTTCGTAAGTCGAAAATTTCGTAAGATGAAGCATTCGTAAGTAGAGGTACCACTGTAACACAGTTGGTGAACTATAACTAGAGATTGTCAGAGCTAGGGGCCAAGTGAGAAAAGGGGAGTTAAAAACAAATGTGCGATTAGAGAAGGGAAATTTGGACCGTCCACTTGGCTATATCCCATCATTATGCCCATGTTTCAACATGTATTTCCACCATACATTCTTACTAGCAAGAAGTAAAACACTGAAATAACAGAGATGTTGCAATTCTCCTCACTCCAATACAAACATAGTGTCGCTTCTCTTTTCCACACTGGATTTCTAATGCAGAAATATTCAACTGCTTTCTTTGTGCTTATCTTCATTGAATTGCTCCAGAAGCATCCTCCACAGGCTTTTTGATCGGTTATTCACAATGCTAGCAGCCATTTAATCTGAGGCATCTTTAATGTCTTTAATGTCAACCGTTCAATAGGAGAAAACACTTTTCCTTAATTATTCCTCGCAACTGTTTGAGATGTCCACAGCCAATTTTTGAACCAGGAGATCGCTCCACCATCTGTCCCAGTGTCAGCTAATTTTTCTGGTCACTTTGGAAGCAATTCCTGTGCTTCTCTTTGCTACCAAATAGTTAGACCAGGGGTAAGCAACCTTTCCCCTTTAAGGGCCGAGGGACTTCAGCTCCCAGAAGCCTCAGCCATGTTGGCCAATAGTCCCATGTTGGCCAATAGCTCCTGGCATTCTGGGAGCTGAAGTCCCTCGGCCCTTAAAGGGGGTTGCCTACCCCTGAGTTAGACTCAAGACAGGTGTATTCAGCAAGGATTATGAGGAGATAGGAAAAGTGTTAGTAGAATCAATTAAGATGCACTAAATAAGTAATTGTTAACTGCACTTCTATTTAAAGAATTGTTTTTATTATACACATGTGCTTCTGGGAAT